AGAGTCCATTAAGACATTAATGATTCAACGTCGAGTTCTTTAGACGCAATTGCCATTTGTTAAACGTTCGCATTAATGCGAAAACTGTGACAAAAGTGCTGATAATGTAAAAATATTATATATACATATATGAATAGACATATGTATATACAGACAAATACATATAAAACAGAAAAAACTCGACTGCGGAGAAAACACAATAAAAACAAAATCAGCAACAATGACAATGACAGTACAACAACATCAACAATAACATAAACAAAAGCAACTTTGCTGCAAGTTTAACATTTGTAAAAGTTGAGCACAAAATTCTTGCATATAAACGACGCCTGAATGCCCTTACTGAGTATGATTAAACGATGATAGATAGTGTATATCAAATTATTAAAGTTGCCAAATAAAAGCTTTTTGAAAGGGTTTATTATGTGCATTGATTTTTTAAATTAATTTTTCTTATTCTTAATCTGGCGAGATTAAATTCGATTAAAAATAATATAGTACGTGATTAAAAAGTAGTAAAGCGATAATGCTTTTGTTTTAGATATTGTACACATATAATGTTTAAAATGATTATGGAAAAGCGTATATATGTACATATATAACTTTAGTATAAATATTAGTCAAGTAGTTAGATTAGATTATGATAATACACTTATGTATGTAACTAGTATATGTTCTTAAAATATATAGCACTATATGTTATATTATACTATACTAACGCCCTAGTTTAAGCCATAAATGCATAGAAATACATACATACATATATATACCTTTTTTATATGCGATATATCTTTTTATTTCACACACTTAGCATAATGCTTCACTTTGAAAGGGTATAAAACGCCAGAGATTCGTTTTAATGTCTGCTAGCTTGGCTGTTAATTCATGTCATTCAAAGCTAGTCTCGAGTCTTATCAGAGAAACAAGTTTATGTTGCGATGGCAGTGTCACAATTACAGTGGCTGCCGCAACAACGTTGCCGCTTGCTGGGTAATTACAGTGGCATTTAAATTGGCAACACCTGGCACACGGCAGTGAGAGCTTGATGCCAATTGTGCTTGAGATAAGGCCAGGGGGGAGGCGGCGAGCAGCGATGGGCAAATGAAAACATAAACACATCAAATCGCAGCAGCAGCAGCAGCAGCAGCAACAACAACAACACGGCGAAGAGGAAGAACAACAGCAAACAGAAATCTCTTTGAGTTTCACGCTGCCAGCGAATAAAAAGCATAAAGAAACAAGTCAAAGAAGAAGAGGCGCAGAAAAGCGACAGCGACAGCGGCAGCGACAGCGGCAGTGGCAGCGGGCATGCTATAAAAATAAGTAGAAAAATCGCTTTTCCGCCTTTCCGGCATGCCGCAACAGCGGCTGGCTGGGTGGGTGGATGACTAGGCAGGCGGCGAGGTGCCTGTGGGGGGTTGGGGTGCTGGGGTGGTTGCCTGTCTGTGATGCTGCACGGTGTTTCGCGGAAAAAACGGTGAATCAACGCATGGCTACAACAGCTACAAAAGCAACAATAACAGCAACAAAAGCCGTTGTAACTGTGCACGTGACGCATCGTCGCACGCCCGCCCCGCCCCGCCCCGCTTGCACACCCTAAATTACACCGGCTCAGGGGGTGCTGTTGAGCCCTGGCCAAAAGGCGAGGGATGTGACAGCCACATACACACACACACACACACACACCCACACACATCCACATTTGTTGAAAAGTTGTACTCACCGACGCCGTATTTGTTGTTCGACGGTATCCACATATTTTATTTATTTTTTTGTTATATCTCTGCTATGTGCTTCAGCTGCTTGGAATCCAATTGGAATATGGCTAACGCGAAGTGCAAGGCCACTCCCAAAGTGGTCGTCCGTCCTGCCGGTTAAGGCGCCTTTTTGCTTCTGTTATTTCTGTTGATTATTGTATTTTTTTATTTTTGCTTTCACGATTATGAATTCGCTGAACACATTTTTGTGTGTGCCTTTTGCATCTCTCACACACACACACACGCACACGCATACACTTACACTTGCACGCGCGCGCAAGCAGCCACGCTCACACACACACAGACTCAAAAGTGTTGAACTTTTGCTTTTGCTTCTGTTGTCGTTGCTGCTGTTGTTGTTGTTGCTATTGCAGTTGTCGCGCGCCTTCTCGCTCGCACCTTGAACGACACTGACACTCGCCTTAGTTAATAACACTTAAACAAACGCGTCTACATTGTAGTTGTTTTTGTTACTTCTGTTGTCGTCGCGTCCATTGCGGAATTGGCAAATTGCTCAACAAGCAAGACCAACTGATAATCTAAGCTCTTATTGGAAGATGTAGTGGTTGCTTTTGTCACCCAATTTTTTCTTCTTTTTTTTTTGTTTTTATGCCCGTCACAAAATACGAAAATCAATATTCATTTTTTGGAGCTACTTCTGCTGTCGTTGATTTTGTCGGTGTTGCTCTTTTAAATAATTTTCTTCAACTATTTTTTTGACTTGCATTTGCTTCGTCTTTTAATTCAATTTGTTATATTTCGCTTTTGCTCTGCTTTTTGCACAACCGGAGCTCTCTCTCTCGCACAACCGAACTCGCGCAGCTGTCCAATAAGACTAACAGCCAGCTGTTAAAACAAGATAAACGGCCACTGTTGTTGCATGTTGGTGACTGTTAGATACCCTGGACAGTGCGTGCGCCTGCTACTTAACAGTAAATAGAGAAAGTTTGAATTTTTTGTTTGTGTATTTATATTACTTATTACGATTTAATAAATTTAAACTTCGTCACCCATATCACATTATTTCAACATTAAATGTTTACTAACGAATCAACGAAGTATAAAGACGGTTTGATATCAGCGCTAAAACTTCTGTTAATATTAACATACGAATTTTAAATTTAACATAGTGCTGTCGGCGGAATACAAAAACGCTATCGCAATTTTCTATGTGATAAGAACTTTCTAAGATATTATAAGCGGTTTAATGTATTTATAACATAATGTCTTAAGCTACTTATATTAATACAATTTGTATTTTAGAATTTATTAGCAACAGCATTTTTTTTGGATTATTTAATGTACGCAAATTTGGTTTGGTTGGCATCGGCATTTGTCTTCCAAGAGGGGAGAATTTTATCCGCCAGGTGGTGGGGCATTTTCGAATAGTCATCTTTTATAGTGGGCAGCTCAATTTAATGTACCTCTAGCGAAAAATACGGGAAACAAAACTGCGCTTATAATGTATGTTGATTTCGAAAAGGTGCAAAGATGAGCTAGTTGCTCACCATCTGTCGGCCAAACATATAACTCACAAAGATTGTATTAGGTGTGAAGTTGGCTGCGCTAAATCAGTTTAGCAATGTACACAACCGATGTGAGTTACGGTTGTTTAATCTAGTATGGACATGATCCCCGCCTAAGTCTAGACACACACCATAATCAAATATACTTTCAGGTTTTTTATTTCAGTTTCTTGTGTATTTAGTTTTTATTAAAATGTTAAATAAAAGAAGTAGTCGTATATATGTGCTTGGGCAACACACCTTCTTCACGCTTTGTCACGTTCATTTATGTTTTTGCTTTGGAAAAGCCGCCCCATCTTTGTCCATTTAATCAGGCAACGCAAGCAAATGAATTGGTTTCGTGGCTTTGTTGTTGTTCTTTTATATTTGTCTTAACTTTTATTATTGCTCTGTTTGTTCGTTCGCATTTTGTAACTAAGACTAGTTGGCTTACAGCTACGGCTTAACGGCTACAAATATTTAACATTTAACATTTACAAAATCTATTTACAAAACTCACAAATTACACATTACAATTAACACTTAGCAGTTACGTTTGCCAAACTGAGCTAATTAGACATATTTATACATATATATTTTTGTATATATATATCTCAGATTCTTAATTAGATGACTTATACTTAGACTTAAGATCATTAAATTTGACCCAGTTCTAGAAAGTTTCTCTTAGCTACAATGACAAGCAATCAAGCAAAGTTTCTATATGGTCAAACAGAAAAAAAATTACCAGACATATATCATTTATCATTAATCTTTATCTTTATGTTTATGTATTGCATAAGCCCTGGCTTAAATTCTGGCTGAATTTGTTAGGCTTCTATTCGTGTTCCTTAGGCATTTCTGTGCTGTTCTAGCTAAACATTTTTATGGCTCCCCATTCGAATTAAAATTAAACCTTTGTACCGAAAACTAACTCCAAATCTAAATTTTGATATCCTTTTTTTTTTGTTCTTTTTTGCCAGCTTGTTGAACCAACACCAATTTGTATTGCATTTTGCAGATCTGTGCAGCATCCTTGGCTCTTACAGCGCCTTCAGTTTGTGCGCCAGGATTTGCTCCTCCTGCTGCAGCTGCTGCTTATCCTTTGGCAGTTCGTTGCTGTTGTTGTTGTTGCCGTCAGCTAACGCCGTCAGTTGCTGCTGCTGCTGCTGCTTCTGCTGCTGCTCCAGCTGCTGTGCTTTGGTCTTCCTGTAGCTCTGCATATAGAAGTTCATGAAGAGGCAGAAGAATATGGATGCATTGATCAGCAGCAGCGTCGATATGAACTTCGAGAACTGGCACTGGCTGCTGAAGAGTGCGCGCGTCGTATGCACAATGCAAAGCACAAACTGCGCCTGTGAGGGAGAGAGAGAGAGAGGGAGAGAGAGTGGAGGAGTGGGAGAGTGATAGGGAGTTTTATTATTATATATACTTAAAATCATATTCAATAATCATATAGGCTTTGGATGTGTTTTGCGTGCCGTGTGCAGCGTGTGAAGTTAACGAGCAAATTGTCAACTATAGTGGGAATTTCTATAGTGGGAATATGTCAATGCGAGCTGAAAGCGTGGGCGTGGCCTGTCTAGTAATTGAAGGAGCACAGTAAATGAAATAGTTACGCGTTTACCTATACCTAAATGTATATAAAGGCTCATAAATAAATATATGTATGTACATATATTATAGATTCAAATGAAATCGCATCATGGCTGCCAATGTCTCTTAGATGTCACATCAAGTTAATTGAGTTGCTGCTGCTTTCACCTTAAGACACATCAAGTCATCTAATTTTAGCCCTGAGAGCATAGCTAGACCCCGGCATATTTTAATTGCTCGCCAAATGCGAATCAAATGGCAAATTGCCCGTTTCATGGAGCATAATCACCCTTGAGCGTTGGCAATGGCAATCAAAATGCGTTCGCAAGCGCAGCTTCAGTTAGCTAGCTAGCTATTTATTGTCAAGCATACGTACGTACACTGGAAGAAATATCCAGACACATTTGGATTTGCATGCAAATGATCGCTAAATGCTTGCTATTGTTTAAGCAGCGTTGGGCGTGACTGACTAGGAGATACCCTTACTTTGGGGGGCTGCAAATGGGCGATCTCTTATGGATTTATTTGCTTGCATAAATTTAATCCTCTTAGCTTTTATTGTCTTCAAGTGAAAGTATAGATTGCTATCCAGTATATAAATATTCACACTTTTTTTTTAATTTGCATGCAAATGTTCTCTAGATGCTTGTTATTGTTTAATCAGCCAACTGTCGCGAATTTAGTGGGGAATGATTGACTAGAAGATATCCTTACTTGATCGTATAAAGAAAAAATATATGCTTAAGCTAGTTAAAATATGTCGATAGCTGAACTTGGACTCTATGCATTCAGCTTTTCATGTTGAATATGCATGTATATATATGTTCTATATACCTATCTATATTGCATGGGATATGCCATGGCCTGCATGACTCCCATCCCCAACTAATACAAGCTTTTCAAATGAAATCAAGTTCACTCAAGTTTTGAATGCCAAAACCTAAACAGCAAATCTCTAAAGAATAACAAAGAGTGAAATAAATTGAAATTGAAATCTCTAATCTCTAAAGAATAACCATAAACTGTCCCATAAACAATATGTTTTATGGCCAGACTGTTATTTATTCGAGTGTATCGCTGCTATAGCATAAAGTTGGCAGCATTAAGCAACACTTTGATCTGGCAATTGGCGCTAATAACTGTTATGCGATAGGTAGTCAAGTGCGCCCACTGCCTGCTTGTCTGGCGCTGACTTTGACGTGGCGAGTTCGTTGCCTAAGTCTTTCGATAGCTGCTTCCATTGACCTTTCGGGTGACACCGCCTAAGTGTTTGCGTATGTCGCTGCCCACCAATTAAGATAGCTGCTATTGATATTGTTAACAGTCAATTGATTGATGCATATTCATATTTCTATTAGCTAAAGCGTCGTGAAGGCAACGCCGTAGCAAATGCACGGCACACGCCCACAAGCCGCCCCGTTTTGTATTTGTATTTGTATTTGTATTTTTTTAATATTTTTTTCTACTCTCTTGTTTTATTTAGTTTTTGCTTTTGTTGCGTTTTTTTATGACCTACAAAGAACGAGCCACATGTTGTTGGTCAACCAAGCGCTGCAAGTTTCCATTAACACAGCGCCACAGAGCGCTGCAAAGTCAGCGCAGCCAACAACACGAAACACTGCCACACAGCAGTGGGCCAGCAGTTGGCTTGACCAAAAAAAAAATAAAAAAATACAAAAACAAAAAACACTCGATTTTTTTTTTCGTTTTCGTTTTCGTTTTGGCCAAATGCGATTTTGGCTTCAGGCATACATCAACGCTTAAATGCTTCATTACACACGCCAATGCAATTGTCCATAGCTGTGTGTGTGTGTGTGTGTGTGTGTCTGTTTGTACAAGTGCATTTGAGTGCACGGTGGGCTTTTGTATGAAAAGAATGGCTTAGTCAGACATGGCACGGATAATTGTTGGCCTTTATGTAAACGGAAGCGGCTAGAAAATAATCATTGAGAATCGCATAGATATGCTTTAAAAGAGATTTGTATTATAAGAAAAACTCAAGAGCCTTAAGGTTAAACTGCAATTAATTAGAAAATGCATATCTATTATATACACATTGTATCTAGATTTATATCGGAAGCGGATGGAAAACCTTTATTGAGAATCGAACTGATTTATGATTCAGAGAAGATTTGTATTAAAGCAATGCCTAAAGAACTTTTTAGTTAAAGGTTAAACTACAACTAACTCGTAAATTGAACCATATTATATATGTGTATTCCTATTGTATAATTTCTGAATTCCGATATCTTTTATAACTTCATAGACAGTACACTTAGTCAACTACTCTTGAGTAGCATTTAACGCAGTGACCTTCAGCAGACACGAAATTAAAAAAATAACTCTAGTCAGAAACTTGAGCTCAATTTTTTGGTATTTAGAGCCAATGAGAGAGTTCAGCTAGAAATCTCGTTTTTTGGCTATAAAAAAAAAAAACAAAATAACTGGATTAAATGTACAAAAATCTGGCTTAATAAATAAATATGCAAATTTAATTTTTGGTATTTTTTTTTTTTTTTTATAGTTTTCAGGCAGCTGTCAAATTTTGATTTATTGCATAAAAAAAATATATATAAAAATTAATTTTTTTGACTCGAAATTTCAGTTAAAATATATGTATTATTAAGCCTACTTTAACTGGTTTTTTTTTTTGCATCATGTTCGCCTACAAAATGTGCTACATTTATCTAGCTAGGCCTACGTAAATCTGTTCTACTATTGCCCATATATTTGTTCGTTTGTTTGAATAATTTTAATTAGTTTAGAGGGAGTTTAGGAAGTTATATAGGTTAATAAATTGACTTGTGTGTGTTTAGGAGGTAGTAGTAAATAGAACAGAGCAGAGCTCTTGCTGTTTTTTTTTTTAATGGCGAGCACAAATGTGTCGACCTCTCGATGATCGCTCAGCGGGATCTCGTGCCAGCTCATTTAATGCGCTAGCTGGGCCTGCTCCTCTTTGATCTAGAGAAATTAAAGTCAGTACGAATTGAAGCTTAGATGTGAATACTCTGGAAGAGATTACAAGTTGCATTTTT